TGGCGGAGGGGCGGGCCTTCGGGCCGGCGGGCGGCGGCGCTGTGCCGAGGGCTCTGCGGTCCACTGCTCTCAAGAGCCTCGTGGGAAAGTGACCCCTTTCAGAGCCACGGGGTGATAGAACCAAGGGTTCGGAAGGGAGCGGTCTCAGTACACACTTGCCTGGTGCGAGCCGCCGCCCCCCAGTGGCTGGGGGGCCCCTGCACCCCTGCTCCCCTGCTCCCCCGAGTCACGCTCTTCCAAAAGGTGGAGCGTCGTCAGACCTCAGTCACCTCTGGTCTTCTTAATGCATCTGGGACTCGATGCTTCTATAGACCCAAATGGTATCTTTTTCATTGAAGCCTGTAAAGTATCGGGGCGCGCTTAAAACTGGTGAAAATTCCAGATCATAGTCCCAACCTAGCTTGGAAAATAGGAAGATCTGGCAAAAACCGCCGCAGGCCCGGGCGGCGACAAGGGCGGCACAGGCGCCCCCCTTTTCCCCTCCCGTCCCCCGGCACGAACTGGGAAGAACTTTTTACTCTCTTGGCCACGTTCGCGCGAACATTTACGGGGAGTGTTTAAAACGTGTTATTACAGTGTCTAAAAATTACACCGGATGAGTCCGAACCCGGCTTTTCTCACCGATAGCTCACGTGGGAGCGGACACGCACGTCCCGCTCCCGGCGAGGCGCTTAGTTCCCCCAACGCGCCGGCGCGGATTCCCGGCCGCGCTCCGAACGGCCNCAGACGAGAAGTCCTGGGCTCTCGTCTTCTCCAAGGAAAGATTTTGACCGAGACAGCGGAGAAAGCAGCAGTTCATTGGCCGCTGCAGAAATGCGCTTAGGCCGGTGACACGAGGACGCGCTGGGCTGCCCGGCCCACTGGCGGGTCAGCGAGAGGGGGCCTTGGAGACAGGCCCAGGGGTCAGCCCCCCCCCAGGAGCTGCCCATTGCTCCCCCTAGTTGCAAGTCTCAGGGGGTGGCTTAGAGGCTCGGGGACACCTGCCTGTGGGGGACGGAGGGGGGAAGGGAGCGGCCCCGGTGTGTTCCCTGGGAGAGCCCGGGACCTTCTTTTTCAGGGGCTTCAAAGGCTGGGCGCTCAGGGGAGGCCTTAGCGGCGCAGCATTAGAATATTCATGAGCTTTATGCCCACTAACCAAAATGAAATTTTTTTTTCCCCTCTTAATTAGTCCGTCCTTGGGTGTGGTTGGCAAATGGCACTAATTGGATTCCTGCTGTCTGCCTCCCGGAGTGGGGCGATTTAAGCTATTTAGCCTCTGGTTGGGGAGGAGAAGTGCAAACCATTTACTCTTCAGTGTCCTTGGTTTGGGGAAAGATAGGATTTACTAGGCGGACACAAACTGCTTGTTTAACTGTCTCAGTTTCCCTATTCTGCTTGTCCTGGAATTTTCCTAGCTTATTGTTCTGTAACATTGGCACGCGAAGTCTCCTAAACAAACAGCGGCTACTGGGCCTGGTTGCACTTTGGAATCTCCTCCCGCAGCTCCTTGTAAACAAGATTCCAGACTCCAGCCCCAGGTTTCCAAAATCAGAACCTCCCAGGGTGTGGCACAGGATTCCCCAGGGGAGATTACGATGCCACCGTTCACAGACTGTGTTTGCACACTGCCGGACCCTCCCATCCGCTGTGGGAGGAAGGTGTAATGTTCTCATTTTGCCAGTAAACCAAAGGAGACTTGAAGTGACTTGTCCAAGGTTCCAGACTTCAGGATGAAGCCAGGACTAGGGACAAAGGACCTCCTGACTCCCAGTCCTCACGTACTAGTTGTCTAAGGAAGCACCTTGTCCCCTGTGCTCCCAAATACACCGTTGGCAAAGGGCCCTCCCTGTCCCACACTGGGAGGCTGCATTTTTAACATTCCAATGGCTTTTGTGACTTAGGAAAAGACTAGGGCTATGGATGGAGCTGGACAGCCCTGCTTTAAATCCTTCCTAACCCTCAGGGCATGGCAGCACTCCTCACAGATTTGCTGTGAGAATTAAACGAGATGACAAAGGTGAGGGGACTTGAAGTACAAGAATCACTTAGCAAAAGAACACAGAACCCTGACCACCCTTGTTTCCTAATAGGGGCGGATGTACAATGCTGCCTTTTACAAGCATCTCATTTGCTCAAGACAGGCAGGTGAGGTAGGTCTCTCTGTATTCATGTTTCAGGTAACAGAACTGAGCCCTCAAGAGAGGTTAATAACTAATCTTAAGGGCAGAGCTATGAAGCAGAGTAGCCGGGGCTTCAACCCAGGGATCTCCCCCTGGTCCCTAAGACTCACGTTATAGGATTCAAGTTTTATCCCAGAACCTGCTCATTCCAGCCTAATAGGGAGACTCCATCCTTAGTCAAGGTGAGTCTCACCACATAGATTTCACCACAAAGACTCGCCCACCAACTGCTTAAAGCTCACCCCCCAACACTATTCTCAGAAAACATCCAAACCAGCCCACACCTTCATCCCTTCCCCTCACCACTCAAGAAAAAAGAGGAAAAGGTCAGTTCCCCAAGGCTCACAGAACCCAAGGAAAACATGTCAAGTTACTATCAGGCAATGCAGTTTATTATTTCACCGAAAAGTTAGAGACCAAGGCCACAGTGCTGTTAAATACCTCCCCCAGCACCCACCCCCCCCCAAGCCCACCCC